CAGTTTGGGGAGTGTAGCCTTTTGCACCGCTTCAGGGATCCCTCCTCCACTCTCCACCTATCTGGCAAGATCCAGCTTCCCTCTCCCCATTACACTATAACAGTGTTGATTGAAAGCTTTGTTTGGGGATATGCTTTCCAGCTATTACACTGGATGTTCTTTTATATTACAATTTCTGTAAAGGTACAGCGTGCTAAATGAAATTTGGATTGTAGAAGTTCTCCAGATGTGTTATCTGTAGTCAGTCACTCACTAACAAAGCTCCTCACGTATAACTGTTGTGCACTTTGTATGACCTCTGCATTGTGCCTTAGCATTAGCGCTGATTTTATTTTTATCCTCACCCAAGGATATGTTTATTGGTTTTAGAAAGACAGGCAAAGTAAAAGGGAGGGAGAAGTAGTGGTGGAGAGAGACAGAGAGAGAGAGAGAGAGGGAAAGAGACATTGATCATCGATTGATTGTCTATCACATGCACCCACTGGGGATTGAACCCACAGCCCAGGTACGGTGCCCTAACCTGGAATGGAACCTGCAGCCTTTTGGTGTACAGGATTATGCTCCAACCAACTGAGCCACCTGACCAAGGGTGTGCTGATTTTTTCTTACCTAGATTTTAGGATTGTTGTTATGTCTCAAAATTTTCTTCTCCAGTGTGTTTGTTTAATGAATATTATTTAGTGTACATGGTATGTCTTTCTTTATATAACTATCACAGTTATTTTTTTCCTAAAATGTAATATTTGCTCAGTTTATATCATGTTTAACCTAAAAATTCTTAAATGGCTCTCAATTTTCAATAGAAAATAGTCCTAACTGCTTTGGTATGCATTTCCCTGACTTTGACATTTCCCTTTGCACATTTAATGGCCAGATTCAAACTCATACTGTGCTGACCCCTGTGTGCCAGAGGCACTTGAAGACTTTATGCTTTGCTCATTGCAGTTTCTCATCTTAGCAACTCATGTTCCTGTGAAATCTTACTAAACTTTTTATGCTTCATTCAAAAGGTATTTTTGAGTTTCTTTCTGTTTTGCCAAAGTAATTTGCTTGCCCTTCCATGATAACACTTCACTGACAGTTGTGTTATAGTCAGGCACACATGTATGTTACTTTTCCAGTACTAAATTGTAATACCCTTGAGGTCAATTGCATGTAAAATGGCTTTGTATCCTCATCAATTCTCTATCATTATGGAGCAGTAGGCATGTGATGTATATATACTAATTCATTCTTTACCATTTAATATAGGGTTCTATTTTCCAGCTGGGGTTCTGATGTGGAATATCTCAATTTTGTATTCACCTAGAAAGGGAACAAAGATACCTTCTATTTGGACCAAAGAATGTTTCCATCAACTAGCTCATTCAGTTCTTTCTCATTCTCATGTCTTCTCTAATTTTTTAAAGCAACTTGGCAGTGCTTAGTTTGCATTCTGGCTTTAGCTGACACTTGAAATAGAGTCAGCTTGTGAGAATTTTTAAAGTTGGTTCTTGAGAGACTTACTATGCATTTCCATGAGACCTTAGAGTCATCAAAGATGATTTCTAAGAGCGATAGGATTATTCAGGTTTTAATAGGTTTATATAAGAGGTAAAGTGTATGTATTTACTGTGAGGCATTGGTTAAGCTCATTGGGGTAATTCCATCAGTTTTATAGAGTACAGGTAAAAAGAGAGCTTTATTTATGCACCTTAGCTGAATCATTTCACAACCCTTCAAGCCATCCCTTTGTGGTGAAATATTCCACCAAGTTCACTCCCACCATCCTCACTATGCCTAATTAAAGCTCTGTGTCAAGCAAAACAAAAGAAATTGAAATTATCTGTAGCAGCAAGGGATTAAGATATTTTTGTATTTACAAAAATAATTTATGTATCCCGGAATCAATCTAGAAAAACCCTAGGGTCTGGATGTTGTTTCCTTCAATTTTTTTAGTAAGCACCAATACACAGTTCAGCGTACACAGTATAAGGTTTAACTAGGGCATAGTTTGCCGCTAGTTTCATGGTTTGATTTAAATATGGTGTTAGCAAGAGATACCTCCATAGATAAACAGAGAGCCTTAGTAAACTGTACCTCAGTGAACATTACCTTTTCATGTTGGAGCATCAACACTCATGGGCCTGGCACTGACCATGTTTCTCACACAATTTGACTCAGGACTCTGTTGAATTGAGCTGAAATTTAAGAAACTCAGAAGGTCCATGTAAACATAGCAGAACATCAGGTTCCTGTGCACATTTCTGTCCCATACATTATGACTTCAAACCTGCTTTGTTAAAGAATTGCTCTGAACTTGAAATATCTTAGCTACCTAGATTTAGTCAGACTCCAGGTTGAAGGACACAAGGCCGTCCTCACTTCAAAGGCAGGTAATGGATGTCCAAAGCACCCACTTCTGTTCAACTTGGTTACAAAGTCAGGGGTCCAACCTCAACCCTGCCCTGCCCCGACCCTGCCCTCAGTTCAATAACTTGTTACAATTGCTATTTACGCTTATTAATTTATTATAAAGGGTATAGATAAAAGGCCACCAGGGAAAGTGCATGAAGTGAGCCCTGGAAGGGTCCTGAGAACAGTAGCTTCCTTCCTCTCAGAAGTGGGGTCTGCACCCCCTCCCGGGTTGTAGATATGTTCAGTTCACCAACCTGGAATCTCTCCAAACCCTTTTACTTCCGGTTTTTATGCATCTTCCATTTTGTAGGTATGAATAAGGAAATCATTGGTTGTTGGTGATTAACTCGACCCTCAGTCACTGCCTGTCCCTGGAGACTGGGAGGGTAGGAGTGAAAGTTCTAACACTCTAATCACCTGGTTGGTTTCTCTGGCAACGGTCACTTTATTAGCATAAACTGGGGTGTGTTGAAAGGAGCTTGTTATGAATAATAAAAGATGCTCCTCAGCTAACTCTTATTATTCTGGTATCAGGAACAGGGGATGGAGACATTCTCAGGTAAGAGCTTTAGGACAATAAAAATAACAGTGGAAGAATGAAAGAGAAAAAACTTAAGTGTTTTTGCCACGCATAATTTCAAAGTTGAGTCTACTAATGATTGTTAACTTGCCACAGTTTTGTGAATGTTATAGAATTCCCAATTTTTTTTTTTAGTATTCATCACCAGTCAATATTTTCTGAGCATTTTTCTTAAACAACTTTAGTAGTTTTTATTAACCATCTACTGTTTTCTCTACCTTGCTGGTATTTTTATAGCTTTTTTATAATGTTAATTTCTATGGGGAGGAAGTAAGAGATTCATAGATAAGTATTAGTATAGATAGACTTGTCAAATATTCATTAAATGATACTGTCATTAACTAAAGATGTTGGGGAAGACAAGAAGGAGGGAGGGAGAAGGGATGCATACTAATGTCCCTTTATGTGGGCAAAGGAAAATGTAGAGAAGGAGGTGAAGGAAAACTATTACCAAAGACTTGCTAATAAAGTGACAGATTCTGATATATCATAAGCTTGGAGTAACTCTTCAGAGTACAGATTCAGAATGAACAGAGCTTTGAAATTTTGTTTTCATTTCACTTCAAAGTTACATTTTGCTTGATGTTTATTGTCAACTGCTCAAAAAGGATATCTTAGGACCAAGATGAAAAAGGATTTCGTCTGTCCCTCTCAAGTAGTTCCCTATTTTTCTCTTGTTTTTATGTATATAATTTTTATACTCCTGATTGAGATGTTCTACTTTTTAGTGATTATTTCATCCTCAAAATGCTTGCATGCATAATTGAATTAACATGTTCAAAGTCAAGGAAAATATTTAAAACCAATTGCCTCAGAGGTAGCTAAAGCATCAGCTGAATTCTCTGCCTTTCAGCTTCCTCTTTATTTTTGACCACTGGGAAAAATTCCCTTGATTTCTCAAAAGCTAAACTATACATTTAGAAATATGTTATGTATTATCCAGAGCTTCTCAGTATTTTGAAGATGGATATTACTGATATGTGTCATATTACTAGAAATTAAAAATCTTAGTCTCTTGCTTCTAATTTTAGAAGTATTTCTTCTTTACTAGCATCCTGTGAATTCTCCTATCTCTAAACTCTTCTGGAATTTAATTTCACCATGAAAACATCCCAGTCAGAATTGAGATGAGCAGGAAATTTGGAAGAGGCAGGAGGAAGAACTACTCTGAACTTCCGAATCTCAAGTCTTTTGTGTTGGTCTCTGTGGGATGCACACTTCCATTTCTGATCAGACTGCTTGTTTTCCTAGGTTCTTCTCACTCTCAGCTCCAAGCTTAGCAGTCCCACAAACTCTTTCTGCTGAGTTTGCAATGCACCATCTTACCATGTGGAGGCAGGGTGCAGATAGGTTAAATTGCCTTTCCAGGAAGTATAATTTTCTTCTTGGATTCTGAAACTCAAGTATTTCATTTGGGCAGTACTGTAACATTTTCTCTTTCTTTCTTTTTTTAAAATTTCATTTATCGTATTTTTTTCCATGACCATTTAGTCCCATTATACCCCCCTCCCCCCAGCAATCAGCACACTGCTGTCCGTGTCCATAAATCCTTTTTCCTTTTTGCTCAATCCCTCCACCCCCTAACCTCCTCTCCCATTTGCTGTCATCTGCTCTCTATCTATGAGACATTTTCTGAATAACAGCACTAATGCCCCAATTTTCTTGCCCCTTTTCTGCCTCAGTAAAATACTCCCTATTTCCATTCTAGATAATAGTAAGTTTGACCAATGCTACCATCAAAAACACACACACAATCACACAGTATTGCCAGTTTCTGGGTTTGCTATGACTTAGCAAGAATTCTAGTTTTCAAGTGATGAGAGAAATATTTTAACCCCCCAAATTTGTGTGATAGACTGAATAATGGCCCCCAAATATATCCATGCCTTACAACCTGGACCCTGTGAATGTACATCATCTTTTATGGTAAAAATCAGAACTTTGCAGATGTAATTAAATTAAGTATATGAAGATAAAGAGATTATCCTGAATATCCCAATGTAATCATAAGTGTCTTTAATAGCAGAAGGCAGTAGAAACACAGCCAGAAGGAAGGCAATGGGATGAACACTAGAAGCTGAGTTTGGAGTGATGCGGCCACAAGGAAAGGAACACCAATACCATCTGGAAGCTGGAGGAAGCAAGAGATTCTCCCTGCAGTCTCCAGAAGGAACCAGCCCTGCTAACGCCTTGACTTCATCCCCATAATCTTCATTTCAGACTCCTGAAAGCTAGAACTGTAAGATTATGGTTTTGTATTGTTTAAGGCACTAAGTTTGTGGTAAGATTATTATAACTAAAACCCACTAATTCAATAGGCAATTGAGATATACATAAGAACATTCTCTCCAAGAATAATAGTAAGCATTGACAAGGCAGCAGTAATAAAAGCAGTAGTAGTGGTAGCTTCCATTATACTGAGATTTTATTATCTATAAGAAATTATTCTGAGTGATTTATTCACTTAATTTAATTTTTATAATAGCATTGTAAGGAGTATATTATGCCCCATTTTACAGAAACAAAACCACAGAAAACAATTTTCCTACTGAATGAGTGGCAGAACTAGGATTTGAACACAGGACTGTGTGAAATCAATTAAAAATTGTTACATTGTATAAGCAAAACACTAGAAGAATTTAAACATCAAGAAATAAAGAAATGTTGGAAACATGCAATAGGCCATCTTATAGATTGAACAGTAACTCTCAAAAAAAATAAAAAAAGAAAGAAAGTCCAAGCCCTAAGCCCAAGTCCTTCAGATTGTAATCTTATTTAGAGATAGAATTTTACAAAGTTAATCAAGTTAATATGAGGTTGGTTAGGGTGGGTCCTAATTCAACATGACTTGTGTTCTTATCAAAAGGTACATTTGGCTGCAGAGACAGATCTGAACACAGGGAGAACACCATGTGAAGATGAAGGTAGAGATTGGGATGCTGTTCTTACAAACCAAGGTACACAAGATTGCCAGCAAATCACCAGAAACCAGAGCAGAGGTATGGAACAGATCCTTTATCATAGTCCTTAGAAGGAAACAACCCTGCTGACACCCTGGACTTGGACTTCTGACCTCCAGAACTGTGAGACAATTAATTTCTGTCATCTAAGTCACTCAGTTGGCAGTATTTTGTTATGGCAGTACTTAATAAAAGCACCAATGGTGATGGTGATAATATCAATAATAATAGCAACTCTGGTTGCTTTTAAAAATCAGTATTCACTCATTATAGTCATAAAATCAATAAACAGTTCTTGCAAATCTTTATATATACATACACATACATATGTATATATATATATATAATAGCACATTTTAACACTCACCTTAAAACATTATTTGCATGAAATTTTATCACATTTTCAATTTCATTAAACAACTACAAACATTATAAACAGGATTAATAAAGATAATATATTCTATTTCCAATAAATTAAACTTATAAATATGTTGAATCCCAGAGAGTATTACATGTCCCAACATTATATGTAAATGACAAGATTTCAAATAAAATTATAAGCCTTAAACTAGTACTGAGTTAGACATTTAAATTTATTCTTATGGGTTAAATTCTTTCAGCCTTTAGAGCACATAAAATATCAAAGATGTATGAAATCTTTACCTCAAGTATATAGAAGTTATGAGGTGGATTGTCTCAAACATTCTTATACTGAAGTCTAACTCTTTCTCAGGTCGGAAGATATTCACCAAAAAGCAGTTTATCATTCCACACAATTCTGGGGTTACCGACTTACTTTGCTGAAGTTCCCTAGGGAAGAGAAGACAGTGCTTATGCTTGACTGGACCTGTATCTGTGCACAAGTGGAAACTCTAGGGCTTATTCATGGCCTATTACTGGGACTTAAGGAAGAACATTGTCTTTTGTTCTATTTGCTTGACATTTGAGTCAAACTCTTACTTTTCAAGCCAAAATAGATTCTTACCCCTACCCATGTGCCATGTGGCTACATAAATTGGTGGCTGGTGGCTTTCATTTTTTTTCTCTTAAAAGCAAACACTGCCCTGGCTGGTGTAATTCAGTGGATTGAGCGTGGGCTGTGAACCAAAGTGTTGCAGGTTCAAGTCCCAGTCAGGGTACATGCCTGGGTTGCAGGCCATGACCCCCAGCAACCGCACACTGATGTTTCTCTCTCTGTTTCTCCCTCCCTTCCCTCTCTAAAAAATAAATAAATAAAATCTTAAAAAAAAGCAAACACTAATATGATATTAACAATGTACCAAGGACAAATCTAAGTTTTTAAGATACATGAACTCATTTAATCTGTGAATTGAGATTCTAGGCCCCAGTGATGACCACAACATCTTTGCAGTATCAACAAATGAGGAATATCTACTTTGCATAACCAAAATATCCTGTAGCAAGATGTGAGGTGAGGGGTAAGGGTAACAGAGCCAACATTTGTTCAATAATCATATCTAGGATCAGCACGTTAATCAGTTTGAATATAACCAATTGTAATAAGGGGTGAAATGGAATACCCCAGGCAACAGAGCCCAGTCAGGGAATGTCAGACTATAACAACCTTGAAAGATGCAACAATTAACAACCCATAGCTCAAAGACCCTTGCTCCCATAGCCAGGCTGCATTTTGTCTCTCTACTCTCCTAACTCTTGAAGATCAAATCTTTGGCTGGAGCTGTAAGACCTATCCCTGATGAGGCCTGGCACAGGACTGATATCATAGGCCTGAGGATGAAGAAAGCATCCCTAATGATAACGTAACTAATGGGACATCAAATGCATCCCACCCACAGGTTCAGTTATTGTCACCTTTAATACCAACCCTAAAGCATGGGTGCATGTTGTGTTTATTGATTAGAGAGTTTATTCTGAATAGATTGCATAATTTCATAATGGAAAATTTTATGGAAAATATTTCAAAAATAAATATAAGTGATTTGAAAGTTTGCCTTTTGTAGTTTCTCTTCATGAACATACAAGCCAAGGAACTGAGCTTAATGTGGTTCACTCTAGAATTCTAATAGCATACGCTTGGGGATATTTTACATATACCTAATACTATAATGCTTACAAAACCTCTATTAAAAAATTGAGTCTTAAGGAAGTTTTTAAGAAAGCTTGTCAGTGGAAACTAAAGGTACGATTCAAACCCAGAGCTCTTTGAATCCCAAGCTAGTGTTTTTGAAGGCTCCATTGCTCTCTCTGTCCAGTAATTTAAACAAGATTTTAGCTTCTTGCATTTGGTTTGTGAATAGGACTTCTGCTAAGCCACTCTATTCTGAAATCATGGATAAAAAGAAAGATAACATGAGAACTTGCTTAAACCTATTTCTCCTCTGAGTTATTCATAAATGATAAAAAAATGATATCCTTTTGGGATTTGTGAATAAGAATCAACAAATTGGAGAACAAAGAAAGGATCTACATGCTTAATATGTTTTCTTTGGGTTGGGAGGGTGGTTTATTTCAGATGAAAATATAAAAGGGAGGTGTTTTATGTTTGACATTCCAAGCTATTAAACTTGGAAAAGGGCAAAATTTCTAATCATTATCTCATAATAGCTGCAAATCTTGGTGCAAATCTTCTCATTTAGTGTAGAGATTGAATATATGCAGCACCCAGCAGCTTACATTTTAAGATGAAAATTTATTGCTAGAAGTAATTTTGTTTAAGCTATTTTTACTTCTTTTTCCCCCTCTTGTTAACTGTTGGAAATACTCCTTATTCAGCCATTTCCTTGTTATGGAATTGTTACATGCTGCTGTGGTTTGTAGCTTTCCTTTTGTTTAAGATCAGAGAAAAATTGGGGGATAATTCATTTTTATCATTCCCTTTCCAAGAGTTTATGTTCATTTTTAAAGCAGTAAGCTTTATTTTCTTTTCTGCCAGATGATCTTCAAATTATAAACATACCACAAAATATAATGAATCCATACCTTTCACAAATTGAACCCAAAACTTCAGTTTATAATACTTTTGAAGGGTGTTCTCTATGTTTATTCTTTTAAATTTTTAAATTGAAAACATGGTTAGAATCAACAGTTATCATATTTCAGTGCTATCCAGACTTCATTTTCTCCTCCGATTCAGCCACTGATCTTGCTGCAATCCTACCTTGAAGCAGGATCAGCATTTTGGTAGATCCCAACTCCACAAAATATTAGATGTCACTGAGGACTCCATAGGGCATGAAGACATTTAATAAAGTCCCCTGTCAATGTCTTTGTTTCCCCAAAAGATCTCCTGTGATTTATATTAGACACTTTATCTTCCCTTTCTCAGACATAATGGGGTGCCCAAATAACACATCAAATGACTTTTTTTGCAGTAAACGATTTTGAAAGAATTGTTATAGCTTTGCTTTTGAAGTTATTTATCTAGAAGTGACTTACAATAAAGTTACAATTGGTTCTAATTGCACTGTATAAATCATGATAACACATGGATTCTGGCAAAGGGAGGAAATGTAACCAAAAATTGTTCTTGTATATCATGTTTTTTTTTTTAGAATTGAAATTTTAAAAATTATGAATTTTATATAAGGTTATGAATTTGTGGACATTGAAGTAAAAATGTGATTAAATATCAATTTAAATACTTATTTTTCTCTATAGTTTTTTTCTGTGTTTTATGCCAACGCTTCTCTCAGGTCTGACCTGTAGATCTGCAGAGCCTCTGCATTATGACTTTGAGTGCTATGCTAGTGTACATAATGTCCACACCTGGTCCTCAACTAGCATGATGTACTCAGAAAAACAAAAGCTTATTAACCAGCAGTCCCCAGCCCCTTTGAAAGCTACACTTGTGTGTGTACACATGCTTGCACATATATACATACATTTTGTTTTCATGTATGAGAGGATGCTACCTCTAAGAAAAAAGGTTTGCCTCATATTAAAAACCTCTTCCTCAACCAGTAAACATTTGCTACTCTCAGCAAATCTCCACAGGCTGCTTTCCCATGAGATATGGGTCAGACATTGTGGAGAGACTCCCTCTGGCATAGGAGGAAGTGTAAGAGAGGTCGAGTCATCACAGCCTGCGGTCTCGACAACCCAAACTGCCAGAACTGGTCTGGATCTCATCGCCTCCAGTGCTGTCCCCTTGTCCAAGCCACTGACTCTCTGTCTGTGCTCTTTTAGTGGGCTTCTAATTGGTCTCCTGCTACAGCTCTTGCTCTCCTTCAGTCAGTTTTCAACATAATAGCCAGAATGTGCGAGTCCAAACTTTCCATACTAGAATGTGAGTGCCATGACTCAGGTTTTCTTGGTCAGTATTGCACAGTGCTGGACCCCAGTGTCAAAAGCAGTGCTTGGCTCATTTTATGTGATATTTTAATTTGTTCATGTGGTTCATTTTATGTGATATTTTAATTTGTTCAGTGAGTGGCTACATAGTGAGTTCATTTTTAAAGGAGTTCAGAAGCTTAACATGGTATTTACCAGTAGTATCCAGTTTTCTGGCAACTCAACAAGCAAAGGCTCTTCCCCTAATCCAAACTCTAATTTCCTTCCCTAGGAGGGTGGGCCAGTCCAACTATGAGGCCATTTGGGGGACAGTTTTTCTCTTGGGTTAGCAGTTTCTACCTGGAGAGGGTTCACATTCCCTGCTCCTTCCAGTTATTTCCTCAGTAAGAACCAGCGTACATTTGATTCTCTTGGTCAGCTCTATTGGGACAAGAATATTATAAATAGAATTAATGAAGTATGGGGCCTGAGGAATGTCATTAGCTTTCTACCTGGGTCCACATTTTACAACAAGACTTGAGTCTATTATGAGGCCCATGAGCAAATGTTGGGAAGGTATCCACTTATTCTACACCAAACTTCAAGGGTGAGCATCCCTTCTTGTTCCCCAAGTCTGCACCACCACAGCCAAGCTAGCAGATCTTATTCTGTGTAGAAAGCTTGTTACCTCCTTATTTTCCTCCTCCTTGTTCTCTCGGAACTAGGAGAGCTCAGTAAGTCCTTTGGGACATTTTTTGAGCAGTACATCCATAACCCACATAAATTTCTCAGACAGCAATCTGAATCCCTCAGGTCAGACTTTTTAAGGAACTCTCATTAGCGCTTTGCACCAGCAGGATCCCAGTAAGACTCTATAAAAATCCTCCTGTCTCAGAGTTGTCCTTTCCCTTCTCCTCCTATACTCTCAGTTGCTCTTTTAAAGGGTTACCCCTTCCCGTGGCTTCTCTAGTGAATGATTTAAGCACATCTCAAACAT